TGAGGGCAGAAATGCATTTTCTGCTTTTCCTCACCACGTAGTGGCAGGCCAAAGTGGTCTCTTACTAACTTTTTGGTCCAAACCTGCATTTGTAGAAATTATTGAGAAAGAATCATGTACCCTACCGAGTAAGGGAGTCAGATCCCACATGGCAGATTGAGGTTCAAATCCCAGCCCTGGTTGCTTGAAAAACATTCTGGGGGGACCAGCAGATGGCATAATGGTTACATCACTGGACTCCCACATAGTTGACTGCAGTTTGAGTCCTGGATCAGTGGTTTAAATTCATGCTGGGTACATGTGCGTGCATGCCCAAGATCCCAAGAGCAAAATGGAGGAGAAGGGATCGTGGCATGGCCTTCCCCCATCTACTTTAGAAAAGGAACTATACAATCAAAAGAATCAAGAGAAATGTATGCTATTGCTCATCGGGAAAGTCATGACGTGTTTTTCTGTTTTTCTATGCAAAAATGCATCATGACTTCCCTGACAACCCAGTATTTACCATTAGCACTAGTCTTCATTTCCAGTCTCACAGGGGAAATTTTCTTTACACCCAGGAGTTGTGCCTAACAATCGTCTTTGGTTCATGCCTTGGGAGCAGATAAGAAGCGAGATTGAGATTGAGATGGAGGGTCGTTCTCCCTCCAGGGTTTACCTGTGTCATTAAAAAAATTCCACTCAAGTGGGTTGTGGCGCAGCTAGATTCCAGTGCAGGTGGTTGGTTTTCTTTTTCTATTTGCAACTGTTCTTAGTCACATTCTTCTTTGGGCTTTTGTTGTATGCTTGAAACAATTCCCTTGATGATGTGCAGTTTATTACCTATGATTTTCTAAGCGAATAAAGGAAGAATTAGAAGAGCTATGCATGGAACATGAGTTTCCTATGGCAGGAGAGCAGAGAATAGTTGCCATGCTGGGCAAGAGGATGGATTTGCACAGAGCAAGACTGTTCTGTGTGTGTGTGTGTGTGTGTGTGTGCTCGTGTGCACACGCATACCTACGTGAGTATGGGCAGTCTCTGCCTTCCATGCACTTGGCTGACAAGCCAACATAGGACAACAACTGTTGTATCCTGCTCCTTCTTTCTGCCTGGGCTTTCTTTTGCTTCAGATAAACAACATCAACAAAAACAATAACAACAAACTCTGAGCTTCTGAGTGCGGAAGGAGAAGCTGGGAAAAGCGGTAACATGCGATGCTCTGCTAGGCTGACCCACACCGCAGGCTCCTGGTTTGAGTCAGAGGAACTCT